CGTTTCGGTCATGCCTGTACTTGGTTACGCACCCGTAGAGATGTTCCCACACTCAAAATCTCAAACGGCGCGGTAATAAGGCCCCAGGGCATGTACTATGCGCTATCGCCGCCTAGCCCCGCTACGACCGGGATGTGGTGCATGGCTGGCATAACGTGTGAAATCAGCTAGGTTGATTGCCGTATCAACCGATAGAACGACTGATATCTCCAGAAAACTTGTTTGTACGTGCCTCTTCCCCAAGCCAGCCTCCTTCACTGCTAGTGGGAAAGAGGTCGCCATAATACCCACTTATTGAGCCCGACTTTTGCCTTTAATGCAGCAATTCGAATGATTACAAATTATGATTTTCTGTAGATCACAAGGCGTACGGAAAGCTAAAATTTGATTATTTTGTGTGGTCAATTCATAACAATTGTTGCTGAAAAGCCCTATTTCAGGTGTGGTCACTCCAAGTGGTAGTGTAACTGCTCGACAGTTGTCAAGAGCGCATTGTATAGATAATACTGATGAGGTGCGACCGTTTAATGTTTTTTTTTCAGTATCGATTTCGTTTCTTTATTGCTGTCGTGCTTGTTCCAGGTTCACCGGATACGCGCGGCTCACCCGACATCAGAAACCCACGTTCTCCGCGGTGGAAGGCTGTTAGGCGAACTATACCCATTGCGAGCATTTGGTGATGTCCGGTTCAAGTGGCCCTTAGATTTACAAAAGGTTCTGATTACAGTCGCTTCATGAGGTTATATCTCTGCTTTTTATAATCATTTTTCAGGTTGTTTTGGAACCGTTAGGTAGTCCAGCTCCTCCCAATCTTCACACTCCTCCTTACCTCACGGTATCACCAGAGGTACTCTACCATAAACTAACGCCTAACGATAAGTTTTTGGTGTTAGCGTCGGACGGCTTGTGGGAATGGCTCGATCCGGACACTGTTGTACGACTCGTATATGACCATACAGTCGGAACGATGACGTTGCTTCCATATCAACCGAAAAGTGGCTCGTCACTTAAGCAGGTAAACCTTCACGTTGTGAATTGAATTGAATTCACTCTGTGCATTGAGAAACTTCCAAGGACCGGTAAAATTTTTCTTTTAGCTTTGATTTGTAAAAACAGGCTAGATAGGTAAATTCAGAATTGGAATCTTGCTAAGAGTTGTTATCTAAAGGAGCCGTATAACAGCTTTGCTTTTGGCAATAACCGTATCTTCGACGGCCCTTTAAAAAAGTGGTAGTACATTAAAGTGGTGAACCAATTTGCAATATTGAATAATATTGAAAACGTAATGGGCCAGTTTGATACAAATGAAATGTTTAGGAACCCTGAGATGGTAAAGTGGGCATAATTTAGAGCATAAGAAACAAGTTGCGGGATGCACCACGCATTCGACTTTCTCGTTGTGAAATTTCAAACGTGATTTAGGCCATTCAGTGAACAACCATGATCAGCCAAATCGAATCAGCAATTATACTATAATATTTTTCACTTCTCTTTTTAATTCCCATAGGACTATCCTGTTCCCAGATAACCGAGAGTTGGAAACCTAGTGAGCTCTTCTAGGCCACTTTTTTCCAGTTAGCGGCGCCACATGCATTACATTATCACCCTATCATAGGCTGAATACAATCGTGGCGGGAAAAATTCTGAAACTTTGTGATTATCCTTCCAGGGAACCCTCAGTTAAAATTATTCTAGAACTGTCATTTGAAGCAGAGGTAGAATGACTAAAGGCGCGGCAAAAATGCTCACAGATTTCGTTAAGATTGTTGAAAACCCTCCACAAATTATTCCACTCCACCACTTACACGCGACCTCTCCGAAACCCCGAATACAAATCCCCAATATTATTCCCTACCATATATGCAGTGTCCAGTTTGGATGTGTGTCACATTTGTCTGTCACGAAATTCGGTGCTACATATCTGAGGAACTACCAGTAGAGTCCGGGTCAAGCTGGGATGAGTGGGGCACGAAGTAGGAAATACCTATCAGCTGGCGAAGCTGTGTCCACAGTGCACGGGGCACTCACCAATTAGGCGGGTGCCGACGACAAAAGTTTCGAGTTTGAACATTCTGCAGAAAGACGAGGAAAATAATGAAGGTATGCCTCAGTTGTTAAGACGAATAGGGATACCTGTCAGTGGAAGACGGGGTATTCTCTGAGGGAGCGGCGCTCAGGAAAACTCATAACTTTTCAGGAGAAAGCCTATAGAGCAGAAGAGAATTGGTTCAGGAGAGTAATATCTAGGAGGTCCCTAGCATACATGAATTGGGAGGAAACCCATCCATATTGGGCGACAAATCCTTAAATGGGCAGTGTTTATTACAAATCTTCATAATCCTGCTCAGAGGAGTTCCAGAAACCGGAGAGGGAAAAGCTGGTAGAGGTTGGAGAAGTATAGAGAAGTAGGGAAGGTTTAATGCTGATGGTGGGCATGGCGTACAACTTGGTGGGAGGAGTCTGCCACTGAACTAATAATTCTTTTCAAGGAATCCTGGAGAGGGTGTAAAAAGTAGATAGTCTGATAACGGAAGGGAGGCTAACTGCTATAGGAGGGGCGGAGTTTGCCGCGAACCCTTATAAGAACCGATGGCCCTGTTTATACCACTGAAGTGTGATGCACGCGAATGCGTGCGCAGCCGAACTGGTCAGAAGTATACGAAAACCAGGAATACGGCCTCTCATCCGAAAGTCTCAGATACGGCCCCTCGATGGTAAATTACAAACGGACGGTTGATCCTGTTGGATAAGCTTTCGAATATTGAAGCAGTTCTGAGTGAAAGTCGAATGCGCAGATTTATTCAAAGCTATCGATGACTACGCACTAATATATCATTTTGTACAGCCTTTTAGTAGCATAATACTTGAATACTTTTAAGGTGCTCCTGGATCTTCAAGAGCGGAAGTTAGGCGAAAAAAGCCATAAGAAGCCCATAGACGAGAACTTGTGCGACGC